CCATCTGTCAGCTCCAGCTTCTCATGCGGGGACATGAGAGAAGCCTCCTACACAATGGTAAAACATCCAGGCATCCCCTGGGCAATTCCTTGCAGATGTCCAACTGTCTGACACCGGAAGCGACTTGCAGTTTCTCAAATCACTCCCGACACACACAAAAAATATCTTGGATTAGTGCTAGGTCATTAAATTAGCTGATGCTGATTTACAGCGTATATACAAAAAACTAGGAATTGGTCAACTGCCATGATAATCAGAGCATAGTTTGAAATAAAATTATCATTAATAGGTTGTAAAAACAAACCTGTATCAATCTGTGCCAGTCAGGGTGGAATTCTTCAATACAGAAAGCAAAGGATAAGCAATGGCACGGTCCTGTAAGGGTCAGATGCTATGCACTAGTAAGCTATCAAGATCTTAAACTTTTTTCTCAAAATGTTAACTACTACTCAAAAGGGAATATTTGTATATCTTGACACTGTAACATTACTCTAAAATGAACTCTTAAATTATTTATTCTCTATAGCATGCTAAATATCACAATGATTTGAATCCTTTTTAAAATCAAGCACCAGTTTTCAGGTGTCATAAAAAGATCTAGTCTGAGTGTTTTTTAAAAAATTAGAAATAGTCTTAGATGAACAATTTAACAAAATATGTGAACATCTGAGTGAAACCAATACCCTACCTCACAGTGTCAAAGTTATTTTCCTGATTATTGTCACATCCTTTGGTATTGTCCTTGTCCATATAAGGCAAAGCCATAATATCTGAGGGTTGCTGCCTGGAGTAAGGAAAAAGGTTTATTGTGATGTCAGGGGACTTGCACCTTTCACCCATGATTTGTGATTGGCTAGCAACAAATAGGAAACACAACATCCAGATATACTCAATCTTGGGGAGATAACACCACAACACAGACATAGGGTTTCACCACAGCAACCTACCATTCTACGATATTAATGTAGATAATGGATACGCACCGAGGTGAGCAGCTTCAGTATCACACTGCTCTTCATTAGTGCATTATTGCATTCATGCTCTGGTTTGCTACTCTGTAGCTGTGCAATCAACTCTTCTGCAAACTCTCTGTTAACTCTGCCTTCCTGAACTATTCCCAACCCAGCATGCCTTACGGTTCATTTAATTTTTAAAATTAATTTAATTTTTAATGCAATTCTGCAATGTCAATACACACACACAAGACTAACAAAGATCTTTTTAAAAGCAAAGCAAGGTGGATGGGGAACCATTAAATAATTCTGCCCACTGATGCCACGTGACAGTTGGCATACTGCCACAGAAGTGGAAGGGTCTCATTGCAGTCAGGCAGGTGATGGAAGAATAGTGGGATCAAGAGTTATCTATGGATTTAATTCAATTAAAAGGTATAGTAGAATCACAAGGAGGGTGTGTGAAGCAAACCAGTAAGAAGGTGCATACAGCATCATGTAAATGCTATTGTCACCAAAGATGATAGTCTAGCTACAATGCCAGTTTGCTTGTGTCATGTGATAAAGTCCACAGACTATGACAAATCAAACAGGCACAGTGCTGCCTGTCATTGAAATATGTATTGTGCAGATGTGATATGAACCAAAGAAGTAAGTTGATAATAATTTACGCTATCTATCTGTAAATCAAATTAATTATGGTAAGATATGGCAAAGATGCTAACAATTAAGCAGTGCCCCCCCCCCCCACCACCACCACCACCACCACAATTCAACAGTGAAAGCAACAAAACTCACTTTATATGGATTCCTTAACCTAGCAGTTCTCAAAGTGTGCTCCGTGGAGCCCTTAGGGCTCCGCACAGCTGTTGGAGAATCTACACTTCCCCCCCCCCCCCCCCCACACACACCCTCTAAGTGCGCAGCAGCACAAAAGGAGGCACCAGTTGGCTGGTTGCTTCCCCACCACCAAAGCACTGGCAGCGTTGCCACTGGAAGTGCCACCACTGAAAACGGGGTGATGAAGAAGGCTAGGAGCCCTGTTAGCAGCAGCAAAGGGGAGACATAAAGTGGGTCCAGGAGGACAGGGCAGAGGTGCTGGTGGGGATCTTCATGAAGAACAGCTTGGCAGCAGTGGGGGTCCAGTAGAGCATAAGCAAGGACCCCGGGGATGTGGAAAGTGGCCTCCAGGCCCTGCAGGGGTAACCCAGAGGTGGCTGCATAGCACTTTCCGGAGGGAGTGGGTCCTTTCCCACCAAGGACAATGGAGATGCAGTGCTTGGACCCTGCCACCACCATCACAGGCTGGAACATGCTGAGGATGGCGACTCTAGCCACAAAAGGCTTCCTACCTTCCCTTCCCTTTCTTGGCAGGTGGTTGGACTGGATGGCCCATGAGATTTCTTCCAACTCAGCGTTTCTATGATTCTTCCTTCCCTTCCCCACCATGAAGATCTTTTCCCCCACACCTTCCTTGCTTCCAGAACCCTTTTCCTGAATGGCAGAAGGTGATTAAACAGGATGGCCCCTGGGGTTTCTGCTATTATTATTTGAAACACAACAAGATTAATACACAGCAAACAAGATCACTATGCTGGTTGTGTAATAGATCATGTTGTCGGATACTTCCCAGGTGTCTAGGACTATGTGATGTATTATTATTATTATTATTATTATTATTATTATTATTATTATTATTATTACTACTACTACTTCTACATCTACTACTTCAAAGGCTGGATGGCCATTTGTTGGGGTGATTTGATTTGTGCTTTTACTTCATGGCAGAATGGGGTTGGACTGGATGACCTCTGGGGTTGCGACCTCTGGGGTTGTGACCTCTGGGGTTGCTATTATTATTATTATTATTATTATTATTATTATTATTATTATTATTAGATTTTATTGTACATAATAACACTGCACACATGTATATTAGGTCCAAGTGTCTGGGATTCGTCTCTGAATATCGGGCTCTTCTTAAGGGCCTAGGATACTAGATTTTATTGTTTTCATAGAAAGTGCACAGTTCCCAAGACGTGCTGCCTTCTGCAGCATGTGGTTTGATGTTCTGTCCAAATTAAGGCTTTTCAAGTGCTTTTCGAGGTTTCTTGAAATGCCTTCAAGCACACCAACCACTGCTAATGTTGGAAGATATTATATAGCTGGCATCACTGAAATCTGGTGGGATGAGTCTCATGGCTGGAATGTAGTAATTGAAGACTATAGTTCAGAGTTCAGAGAAATAGATCAAATAGGAAAGGTGGAGTAGTAGCATTTTATTTCAAGGATGTTCACACCTGTGAAGGCATCCATGTCTTAAATCCTGAAAGCCAGGGTGAGTGCATAAGGATAATAGTTAAGGGGGAGAGAAATAGCAGGGATGTCATTGTGGGAGGTCTACTATGGGCTCCCATGCCAAGCTGAGGGTGTGGATGATGCCTTCCTAGGACATATGTGCAGACATTCGGAAAGGAGAGAACACTACTTTCTTTGAAAAACACTGTGAATTTAGACAACTTTTCACTGAAAGCACAAATAGTGGATATATTCCAATTTTAAAAAATAAAAATAAATTGGATTTGAAAACGAATTTCAAAATGAATTGGCAATCTGGATTATGACACAATTATATCGTTGTGTTGTTGTTTGCCTTCATGTCATTTCCAACTTAATAGCGACCCTACGGCAGGGTTTTCTTATCAAGATTTGTTTAACTAGAAGGTTGCTTTTAACTCCCTCTGAGGATGATTTGCTCAAGGTCACCCATTGGTTCTCATAATTGAGTGAGGATTTGACTCCCAGTCTCCAGAAGTCCAATGTTCAAATCACTGAAACATGTTGGGTCACTAGAATTTGGGAAATGAAGTATTCTTCTAAACAATATCCCAGAATACTTGTAAGGTATGTAAACAAACACAATATAGTCTATGCCAGGGGTCCTCAAACTAAGGCCCGAGGGCCGGATATGGCCCTCCAAGTTCATTTACCCGGCCCTTGCTCAGGGTCAACCTAAGTCTGAATTGACTTGAAATCACACAACAACAACAACAACAACAATCCTATTTCATCAGCCAAAAGCAGGACCACACTTTCCATTGAAATATTAATAAGTTTATATTTGATAAAATGGTACTTCATTTTATTGTATTGTTTTAAAGTGTTTTTGCACTACAAATAAGATATGTGCAGTGTGCATAGGAATTCATTCATGCTTTTTTCAAATTATAATCCAGCTCTCCAACAGTTTGAGGGACTGTGACCTGGCCCTCTGTTTAAAAGGTTTGTGGATCCCTGGTCTATGCAATAGGAAACTGTAATGACCATATAGCATATAGTGACACTAAAATCCCCAATATAAAGATCAATACAGTGACATGAAAAATACAATGAAAAAGGAGCAACTGCTCTCAAACAGAAAGTATCTCAGTCTGATATCAGTCCCAATGTCTGCAAGCTTCAGGTGTCCAAGTCCTGTAAAGGTCAAAATAGGATGAAAATCCTCCAATACAAGGAGTTAAAAGGTTCGGTTGCAGGTATAGTATCAGTGCAACAGGGGTGCCCAGGTTTTTTTTACCCTGTTTTGGGGGAAAAAACCCTTCTTCAGGTGATAAGGTGGTCAGCAACTACGAATAATGACTCACATACTGTGCCTGATAGCATCAAGGGAAATTGGCCCTGCTCATAGGGATTCTAATAGTGTGATATCAGACTGAGATACTTTCTGTTTGAGAGCAGTTGCTCCTTTTTTGTTGTATTTTTCATGTCACTGTATTGAGCTTTGTACTGGGGATTTTGGTGTCACTATATACTATATGGTCACTACAGTTCTCCTATTGCATAGACTATATTATGTTTGAATGCAGTATTCTTACCTGAAGCTATTGATCAACACATAATTTTTTTCCAAAATCTATATTAGGCCAATCAAAATAACAAAAACGACATGCAACTTTTCAGATTCTTCAGACAAAGTGGTTCTTCAGAAAGAACAGAGCACCTGTTATCCCTTCTCCAATCGGTTAAGTAAGAATACCGAAGCCAGTATCACTGTTCCCAACCTTTATTAAACAGCCCATTGCCCTTTGCTAGCCTCCTGGTCTTTCTTAATGGGTCCCAACATTTTCAGTTCTCACTAGATTGATAAGCAAGTAGACTCAGAGGGCATCCACTTCCCCTAGAGCCTTCTTCAGCCATAGTGGAGTCTGATTTGTTACTGGTGGCAATGAATCTGCTCCCTTTGGCCAGGAACAGTCCCCGCTCCTTTGTTCAAAGGGCTTTTTTTATTCATCATCGGCAGCTCTCTTCTTTGCTCTCCAAGCCCAGGGTGTCTGTTGCCACTTTGGATCCACACTGTATCTACTAGCTCCTCATTATTTATTCTCATCAGTGTCTTCATTGCCTTTCCATGAATCTTGCCACACATTCCTCATGACCTGCCACCAATATATGGGATTTTGTTCATATGAAGCATGCCACTAGAACTCATACAATTGGGATTCATCGTACTCGGTCTGGAGCCCGTCGTCTGGCTGCGATTCACTGTCTGTATTGTCCTCTGGTGCAGACTCATCCCCTGCCGTGTAGTGAATGATCTTTCTGACAGGGAACACATGGTTCGTAGTACGCACCTCATAGATAGGATCGGAATCATATTCATCATAAGTAAACTCCGGTGCAGACCTGTACCTGGTGGGATGTCCGTGAATACAGTGCCCCACTCCTTCCCTAATACATGCTGTCTCCGCAGGCACACCTGCAAGAAAGAATTCACTTCAGCTCTTATTCATTTCTTCACTCACTTGATTTATACCCTGCCTTTCCCCTCTTCCCCAAAACCAGGACTCAGAGGAGCTCACAGTCCAAAGCAAATGTGGTACAATATAGATAAGAGCATACAAAAGATTACACTGGCCAACACACATTTTGGTGCCCTAAATGTTGAAGCTGTTTCTTTGTATATTCGACCTGGCACCAGTTTTTCCCTAACAGCTCTAGTTTTATGGAATATATGCCATACACCAGTCACTATCTACTTGCCCATAGAAAATCATAACAACTAATATCTAAGAAACTAGATCTCATGTGATCTAGCTAATGCAATTTTCTGAATCAGAACCATAAATAACCCCAGGAACAGGCCTAAAAACCAAGACACCAAGGAAAAAAGTTTCTTTGTTGAGCTACGTTATCATTCAAATGTCATTAAACTATCAGTTTATGTTGAATACAATTTAAAACAAACATTAAAGACAAAATTAGAAGAAGATTAAAAGAAAGTATAGTGCCTTATTAAAATGCCTTTAATAACATTTAGATTCTGAAAACCTGTTAGAATTTTTTAAAAAATCTTTGGTGCTGAATGGACAAGGATGGAGCCTTGCAGCCTCTTTCAGAAGAGAAGACCTGAGTCGAGGTGCGGCCACTGAGAAGACACTTTCTCAAGTCTGCCACCACATGTCTCTATGAAGGTGGCAAGAGCAAGAGAATGGTCTCCCCAATTTTCTTAGGGCCCAAGAAAATTTCCAGACTGGGGACAACAGAAAAACATCAGTTTATCAGATAGCCTGGGTCTCTGACAATTACACCATATCATGGAACAAAATCATAGATTTTTGTTCTCTCTCAAATACTGGTATATGAATGGTCCTACTTTGGCTTAACTCCTATCGTTCATGCTCTTAGATTGGTACCATTTACCACAGCAGATATGCAAAGAAAAGGTACATAAATCCAAAGCAGGCAAAATTATGCCTCACAAGACCGGAATGCAGGAACAACTTGAAAACTTGACACCGAGAGCTCTGCACCTGAATGCAGCATTGCTCTCACAATGATTATACCAACATGAACCACTTTAAAAAAGTCAAAATCCCTCCCATGAGATTATTTATTTTACACCTACTTTCCTTATCTCTAAGTCGCTTGAAGTGAGTCCTTGATTGCAGGCCGTGTTGACTCAGCTCCAACATCTTTGACTGTGACAAACATTTGTCTCCCCCATTTCCTTCACACTGCACCTCTGGCAGGTTCCCATGGGAATTAATCTCACCTTCACTGTTCTCTTGGGAACTGCCAGGAGATTCCAAAACATTTCTCTCTGGGCCCTCTGAAACTCTGCCAGCCTCTCCCTCATCGTCTGAACACTCAGAATCTTACCAGGCCACAACAGACAGTATAAAATCCATGAACATGCGGAGGTATATTAACATCCTTGGCCAGCCCTTATGGGTCTGTGATCACAGGACCTGTGAAGTATGTTTTAGAGAGGGTTCCAATGCTTGGTAGATATAAGGATAGACTTCTCCCATCCAGTTAAATAACACCCCTACCTCAAATGTGCCACAAAGTGAACTGAGCTGGGAGCGTAGCATCTTTCAAAACCCCTGCTGAGTCAAAGCACCACTCGAGTCTTTAGGTTTCTCTTCCTTACCATTAACAAGAACAGATGTAAGCTCCCCATCCTCTTCAATTTCCACTCGATCCTCTCCATCTTGAACAATTCTGAAAAAGAGTTAATACTGTATAGTTTACATAGTCAATGAGGGAGCAAATGAAACCCCTAGTTACCCAAACACCATTCTGCCCATTACCAGTTGGCTGCAAGAAGAATTAAACTTCATTGAGACAAATAATGGGATTTCACATTGGGCACAACAGTCTTAAAAGTGACTCTGAAGGAGGAAAGGTCTGTATTTCTTTCTACATTCCAAATCCTGCCAATTTATGCTGGGCATCATCATAAAGTGTGGAAGCAGGAGTCAATACACTTTATAGCCCATCAGATCTAGTCATTTAAAATTCTCCTCTTCACTTGACAGCAGGGAATTGGGTCTCCCACGCCAGGCTGGCATGGTTGACCAAGCCATGTCAACCTTATCTATGGCTCCAACTAATCCAAAGACAGTTCTTTTTCACTCCTATCCTGTTCCTCCCTGTTCCTTGCCTTTTTTTTCATAGATTTGAGGAACTGGCAACTTTGGTATTAAAGTGAATAACAAGTTGTGTGCATGTGTATGAGAAAGAAAGAAATTGAGCCAGGCCCGTAGCCAGGATTTCGTTTCGGGGGGGGGGTGTTTTTTTCAGGGGGGGGTGAGTTTCGGGGGGGGGGCTGAGTCTGAGTGAAAGAGGGTCTAGCCTAGCAAACCTTTTGTATCATTACCCCCATACCCCATGCATATGGGATATATTGAGTATGGTGATCAGATCATGATATGAATAAACATAACAGTTTAAATAATGCACCAGTAAGGCCTTTTCGCGAACCACTATGAGAATTTCGGGGGGGGGGGCTGAAGCCCCCCCCCCCCCCCCCCCCCCCAGCTACATGCCTGAATTGAGCTATTGTGGCCATCTCCTGTTCTTTGGAGATCTCCTTATGAAATCTTAGGAATCAAGGCATTCAAAATCATGCCTAGTTGGATCCAGTACCTTCCCTCCTATGGGTTTCCTCAGCAGATGGGAGAGGATACATGGCTGATCAGGCCTCAGGCAGGCTGGCCAGAAATGAAATCCATAATCCTGCAGTGGGCCAAAGCACTAACGCCTGTAACCAGTAAAGTTATGGGCATTTCAAATCCTAAAGGTGTATTTGTCCTTTGCCTGATCCTTCTTGATATAGGCCCTTCCTTTCATTGCTACCTAGAAAACACACTTTAAGTCAATGGGAAAATTGACTAACTTACACAAATAATATCACACACATATACCAGTGAGGGATCCATATCTGAATACCAAAATTCCCAGCCTTCAAAGCTGTGACAAGGAAGAGAGGTGAAGAACAGGGTGGAATAGGGAGATTAGGGTGAGAAAGAGGTGACTTTGGATTAGTTGGATCTATTTTTTTAATGTGTTAAAATTGTGTAAACTTCAGTGCGCAAAGAAAACAAAAAAGTTTGCAATTAGATACAAAAAGAAAGATGAGGCGAAATGCAAGTGGCATCTGAGAAACTTAATTTGTCCAAGACAGTTGGATTTCCTCAATCCCAAACTCTTTCCACATTCCACTTTTGATTGCAGAGTCCATGGCTTCGTTGTGAGCTAGGTGTTTTTCCTCTTTTCACAATGTCTGGAAACAGTCTGTCTAGAGAATCTAAAAATCTGAACAGTATTTTTGACATTTTAGTTGGCGTAACAAGCACATCACCCTAATTTAGATTCTGGAAAAATTACTGTGGAAAATGGAATTACTGGGAAAATGGCTAATGATGTCAGATAAGAATACTGCATTTTCCAAATTCCATTGAGCCAACATGATATAGCGGCTTGAATATTGGATTACCATTCTGGAGACCAGGGTCCAAATTCCACCTGGCCATAGAAATCCATGGGTTACCTTGGGCAAGTCACACACTCTCAGCCTTAGAAAGGGACAAGGCAACACTCCCACTGAAAAAAACCTTACCAAGAAAACTCCATCAGTCAGAAATGACTTGAAGGTCAAAAACAACAAAGCAGTTCTCTATATTGATTCACGGTACATACTGACAATACATTTTGGAGCTTTTTCCCCATTTATTTTTTTTAATTAAATAAACATATCAATCAGTTATCCTCAGTGAAAATTGAAGGAAAATTGAAGGAACAGTCCAGTTACTGCTATAATTAAAATTGGGGCCGGGGGGGGGGGGGGGGGGGGATGCATGAAGGTTGGGGATTCTAGAAAATCTTTCAAGACTGATTTCAACTTGCTTCTTTAGAGGCACTGATGGGTGTCATTTAAAATATATATATTTATATTTACAGTTATATAATAACAGGCAATAACATCTGTGACTTTTTGTGACATGCGACCTCATCACACGGGCCACCAGAATCACCACGGGGCTCCCCCCATTGCTTCCTTCACAACATGAGACTCCTCCCGTGTTACCACTGTGGCAGCATATATGCTGGCTCTTCTCTAGATGACCGATGGAGCCCCACCAGAAGTTCCTCTGCATTGTGAGATGGGAGCCGACGGGCTCTGTGGATCATCTAGGGCTCAACTGGTGTATGCCACCAGAAAAAGCCCCGTTTATTGAGGTCCTTAGTTTTGTAACTTGAAAGCTCATATCAATGGGAAAGCCTGGCTTGAAAACAAGTATTATTTGGCATGGATGATGTCAGCCAACATTTGAAACCACCCACACTGTGGAAGGAATTTTACCAGGGGAAGTACTGTGCACAAAGGAAGGAGGATTAATCCAGAATAGCAATGCCATAAATTGCATTTCCAGTTTAATTCATCTCCCGCCCACTTTTGTTTCATAACATGCATTCTTGTTTTTCATTACATTTACATTTCCCAATGTTTTATTGGCACTATTCATGTCTCTTTAACAACATTCCAACAAATTGAAAATAAATGTCAGGTTGTTGATGAAAGCATTCTAAGGTAGCCATGATGTTTTTTAATAGGTGCAAAAGACAAGGATTGAGAAGCCATTGAAATCCACAAGCATGTGGACAATTTCAACAGAAAGGAGGAAATCATGAAAATGAACAAAAGCTGTCTAGCAGTATTTTAAAAACTCTAAAATCAGAACAGTAAATAAAGAGCAAGACTCAAAAAGCAGGGGAATTCCAGACAAGAATAAATCAGGGCCAACTAACACCTCCCAACAAAGGATTCGCTCAGGCAGCAACCAGCCAGTGCTTGAAAGTGCAGGCCATTAAAAGCTAATCAAGCATTTAATGGCCTGCAGACAATAGTTCTTTCTCCCATCCTGGACATTACACAGATATATAAACCTCACTTACTTAGTTTCCAACAGACCCTTAAACCTCTGAGGATGTCTGCCATAGATTTGGGCATGGAACATGCCCAAATCTATGAAAACTCACGGCAACCCAGTGATTTCGGTCATGAAAGCCTTCGACAACACAATGGTTGTTATTATGATTCAGTCGTGGCTCTCTTTAGCACTGTGTTTCTCAACCTTCCTAATGCCGTGACCCCTTAATACAGTTCCTCATGTGGTGGTGACCCCCAACCATAACATTATTTTCGTTGCTACTTCATAACTGTAAATTTGCTACTGTTATGAATTGTAATGTAAATATCTGATATGCAGGGTGTATTTTCATTCACTGGATCAAATTTGGCACAAATACCCAATTCGCCCAAATTTGAATATTGGTGGAGTTGTGGGGGGATTGATTTTGTCATTTGGAGTTGTAGTTGCTTGGATTTATAGTTAACCTACAATCAAAGAGCAGTCTGAACTCCACCAACAATGGAATTGAACCAAACATGGCACACAGAACTCCCATGACCAACAGAAAATACTGAAAGGATTTGGTGGGCATTGACCCTGAGTTTTGGAGTTGTAGTTCACCTGCATCCAACAGAGCACTGTGAACTCAACCAATGATGGATCTGGATCAAACTTGGCATGAATGCTCAATATGCCCAAACGTCAACACTGGTGGAGTTTGGGGAAAATAGACCTTGACATTTAGAAGTTGTAGTTGCTGGGGTTTATCTACAACCAAAGAGCATTCTTGTGATGGCGCGAGTGGTGCCACCTATATGTAGAACTGTAAGTTGCAGGATTTGAACAGTTGTATCAAGCCTGATTTTGCGTTTTTACCCTGTAAATGTATAGTTGGATTGATTGTTTATTTATAGCTGTCAATCAATGTTGTTTGCACCAGTTGAATTGCTCCTCCTGCTCAATTGTTTGCCCCCACTTCTTCCTAGAGAGCAGGACAGTGCTTCCTTTTCCATTCCACCATCAAACTTTCTATCAGATGGACGTGAGAGAGAGACTTGGCTCTGAAGCCCTTGATTAAGTTACCTCTCAGCACCAATTCTAAGGTTCTTACCCTTAGACTTATGCTTCATGTTCAGATCAACCTGGACGATGTTGAGAAGTCTCAAGTGCCTTCAAACCAGTACTTTGGCACCAGAGGAAGCCTTTGTGCCTTCAAAATATAAGACATTGGAATTAGGGTTGTGATTATTCCAACCTTCACAGCCATTGAGAAAAGAGGGAACAGGAAAAGCTTCTCAGCTGTGAAATCTCCTTGGACCCAAGACAACCAGAGACTGTAATGTATATTTCCTTTACCCCTTTGAAACTTCCAGCTTATTGCCTTAAAGGGATAACTTTTTGTGAACAATAAACCCTATTTTGAGTTATCTACAGTGTTTTGGTCCTTGGGAGTTCCAGTTGTTTAAAGAAAGGCAAGAAGCAATCCCCTGGGGAAAGATGTCACGTCCATGCCTCTTTCACTAAGAGTTATAGCCCCCAGGCACGACGGCACAATTCTGAACCCCACAAACGATAGACTTGGGCCAAACTTCCCATACAGAACCCCCATGACCAATAGAATACATTGTGTTTTCTCGTGGTCTTTGGAGACCCCCCCCCCCTGACAGTCCCTCGCAACCCTCCAGGGATCCCAACCCCCAGGTTGAGAAACACTGCTCTAGCATGTACTGAGCCCACACTCAGCTCACCTTTTGGTGGTGACTTGTTTGCCATTAATGAAGTTGGTCGATGAAGAGTAGAACCGGAAACCATTTCCTCCATTGGCACAAGCACCAAAGGGCATGGGCTCTCCTAAAAAACAACATCAGGAAAGGACTGTAGTGGTTCAGTGGCAGAGGAACTGTTTCTTTTGGGGATGAAAAAAGCCCCTGGCTTACTCCCTGGAATCTCCATGCAGAACTGATGGGGGAACCTCTTAAGTGAAAATCGTGGTGAGCTGCTGGCAGTCAGTATTGACAGTACTGAACTAGATGGATGAATTTCTGTGCTCCAAAGATTGCTTAGGAAGGGCTCAGTTTCCTGAGATAAAAGATATGACACACACACACACACACACACTTTGGGTTCCATAAGCCCCTTCCACATTATATAAAGTCCACATTAAACTGCATTATATGGTAGTATGGACTCAGATAATCCAATTCAAAGCAAATATTATGGAGTATCTGCCTTGATATTCTGGGTTATGTGGCTGTGTGAAAGGGCCCTTAGGCTATTTTATTTATTTATTTATTTAAAGTATTTATATTCCGCCCTTCTCACCCCACATGGGACTCAGGGCGGACCACAATGCACATATACATGGCAAACATTCAATGCCATAGACACACAACATATATAGACAGACACACAGAGCTTATTTAACTTCCAGCTTCATGAGGGTATGCTTTCTGAAATTCGGCCACCGGGGGAGCTGCTGCTTCATCGTCCATTTGTGACACTGATGGAGTACTTCCCCATTCTTTTGCATGCTTCTAGAGAGTTTTATGGCATCGTAAATTAGTTACATTAGCCTCCCCACATAAGCAGTACCTAAATTTCCTACTTGATAGATGCAACTGTCTTTTGGACTGCAAAGGTTGACAGCAAGCTAGACAAATGGTCGGGAGCTTACTCCAACCTGGGCTGGCTTCAAACTCATAACCTTTCGGTCAGTAGTGATTTTTAATGCAGTTGCCTCCCAATCAGCTGTGCCACAACCCGGTCCAATCCTATATTGCAATAAATCCCAGAGGCATAAAATGGGGCAGAAATCCCCCTCTGAATTCACCAGTTCAACGGAAGATCCAACTGTAAAGAAGGAGATTCAACATCAAATCACCATTCCTGCTAGAGATAGAGGTTTCTGTGGTAGCTTTTCATACTAAGGTCAGGCCTACACAGCCTTTTCAGCAGCCTCCTGACATTGCCATACCACTGACACACAATGCATTGATTTATTTATTGTGAGTGAAAGTTGGTGGCCATTATTTGGACTTTGGGGTTTCTTTTAGCAATATTTTATTAACACAAAAAGTTTTGATATCTAAAAAAAATTAAAGAAAGCAAATCAAACCTAAATACAGTACAATACAAAAATTAAAATATGTAACACACAGTACTTTATAAAAAAAATCTTAATTGACCATCTAGAATATTATTGTTGTTGTGGCTGCTGTTATTAGCCACTCAAAGTGGCTAATCATAATCTAATTCTTGAACCTTAAACTGATATCACCCTTCAATTATATTTCAAGTAGTTGATAACTAAGTCCCAATCTTTCTTAAAGTTTGATGCAGATTCGTCTTTAATCAAGTTATTAATTTAACCTAACTCATCTTATTCACAAGCCTCACTTTCACTTCACTTTCTGTCCCTGTGGTCACTGGATTGTGAAAAATGTGGCTTGTTGTGGAAACAATTGGCAAGATTTACTGCAGCTGGCAGTTAACCCGCCATACTAAAGCCTGGCCCTATATACTTTCAGGTACACCCACAACCTAAAAGGTGATATAACTTACCAAAGAAAGGGTCCCGTCCCCCAAAGAAGTCCCTGAAGACATCGTGGGCACTGCGGAAGTGGAACATGTAGTCGGAACCCATGTTGGCCCTGGATGATCCTGTAGGCCTACCTGTAAAAAGGTGAAAGGAAAGGAGAGGAAAGTCAGGCATTCAGAGTACAGAAAGTTCCCGAGTTACAAACATCTGACTTACAAATGACTCATACTTTAAAACAGGGAGTGCAACAACAGGAAATGGGAGAAATCTGCCCCTCAGAAGGGAATTTCACTCCTGGAAGAGTCATCGTGGAGAAAAGGTGTCTCCAGTGAAGCTTTATCACTACTCCTTGTTTCCACAACATGCCTTTCAAAATGCAGTGACCCCAGGGACAGAAAGTGAGGTGAAATATTCTGAACGGTGGTGCAGACAGCAAAACAAACACCACAGAAGTGTTAACCCTCCCTTATGCTATCTAAAGTTAAATATTTAAGTTTTGATGGAGCCCTAGTGGGCTCTAGTTCTAATAAAATCCAGTATAGATTTCTTCTTGATGGCCTAGATCAGGCATGGCCTAGATCAGGCATCAAATTCTCATGGTGGTCCGCGATAAGGCCTTACTGGTACATTATTTAAACTGTTATGTTTATTCATAGCATAATCTGATCACCATGTTCAATATATCCCATATGCATGGGGGTATTGGGGTAATGATACAAAAGGTTTGCTAGGGTAGACCCTCTTTCACTCAGACTCAGCCCCCCCCCCCCCCCCCCCCGAACAAAATCCTGGCTATGGGCCTGGCCTAGATAAAGGTAAAGGTTTCCCCTTGACATTAAGTCTAGTCATGTCCGACTCTGGGGGTTGGTACTCATGAGCTGGCATTGTCCATAGACACCTCCAAGGTCACGTGGCCAGCATGACTGCATGGAGCACCATTACATTCCCACCAGAGCAGTACCTATTGATCTACTCACATTTGCATGTTTTCGAACTGCTAGATTAGCAGAAGCTGGGGCTAAGAGTGGATGGACTACATTCTGATAAAGTAGCCAACAAGTGGCTTGCGGTATTTCCAAATGACTCATCTATAGTTTTAATCAAATATATTATAGTAGTAGTTTTTACTACTTTGGGGACCAAACATAAGTGGTAGTTTATGCTGACTTAGAAATGCGTAGTTTGAGTCTGATTGTGTTCTTGTGACTAAGGGGAAGGTGTCCCACATACCTCTTCCCATGAGTCCTTCCTTGCCATAGCAGTCATAGACATCACGTTTGCTTTCTGTAAGGAGGAATAAATAACAATTTAGCCATCCATCCATCAGGTGTCAAAAACAACTCTTTGTGTTGCTTCAAAGTAATTGTCAACACGACTACCTTTGTGCTTTGAACATTGCATTTAGCTGTTAAGCAAGGGACCTTGTACTGAAGGAAGAGAAACTTTGGCCCCTTCTACACTGCCATAGAATCCAGATTATCAAAACAGATAATCCACATTATTTTATTTGAACTGGATTATCTGAGCCTATATTGCCATAAAATCCAGTTCAACGCACTTAATCTGGATTTCATATGGTAGTGTAGAAGGGGCCATAGTATCACTTCAAAGTGGAACATTATTTTCTTAGTGTTTATCCCCTACACTTGTTAAAGTCACCCAGTTCAACTTCTATTTATGGTACTGCTCCATTATATTGGCAGGGGCCACTAGAGGGCGATAGAGAGAGAGAGAGAGAGATAGCAGAGGGTGGGTTGAAGGAGTAAAACCATTTCCCCTGTTTTCCTGTTATTCCCCCCACCCATGTCCCCAACCTGGAAACAATTCTCATTTACGATATGGGAAGGGAGAGGAGACATAACCAACGAAAACAGGGGAAATTGTTTTCCTCCTTCAACTCCCCCCCCCATAAAATGGGCTATTCTCCTCTCTCTAGCACCCCCTGGTAGCCTCATCCTGGACAATGGAACAGTACCCTATTTACTAGGGCTGGGCGGTTTCATTTCGTAATTTCGTAATTCGTTAAAAATTCGTTATTTTTTTTGTTACAAAGCGATAACGAACCATTCAGGAGCATCTAAAAAACGAAACGAATTTTTCAATTCGTTTCGTAATTGCTTCGTATTCGTTTCGTATTCGTTTTGAAATCATTTCGAAATCGTTTCGTTATTATTTTCGCATGTCTGGGGCAAGTTTTATAGCTGTTGTTTGTTTAATCAGTGAAAAAAAATTATAAATATCACACCAACAGTCAACAACAGAGGGAGAGGGAAGCTTCAGAAGTTTCCCCTGTCCCATATGGAGGTTTTTTAGCGTATTGCGCGGTCGCATCCGCCATTAAAGAATCGATTCGTATTAGTTTCGTATTTGTTTCGTATTCGTTTTGTAATTTTACGAAATTTCGTAAATATCGAACTTTTTTAAAGAAAAATTTCGGAATTCTTTTAAATATCGAAACGCAAAAAACCCCAAAAAAACTAATCAAGTTTAGAAACAAATTTTTCCGTGGTTGCCCAGCCCTACTATTTACCTTTCCCCTGATAATGTTCCAGTAACCATGATAGAAAGCATTTCCACAAGAAGAGAACACAATTATCTGTGTGCTATATCTGAGAAAGGCCACAAAAGAAATTATCTCCATCAGCTGTGTGGAAGGGGCCTTAAAGAGGAGGAATAGAAAGAAAAGGGGACTGAATACTTACTGTCCGAGAGTACTTCGTATGCTTCTGCAATTTCCTTGAATTTCTGTTCTGCGTATTGCTTGTTGTCAGGGTTTTTATCTGGATGCCACTTCAGAGCTTTCTTCCTGTAACTTTACAGTCCAACACAACACAATGAATTACACGTTTGCATGCCTTAGGCCAACAGCTACCAGTAAGGCACTGCTGGTTCTCCAATTAGTCAGAGGCATAGCCCCTAAGCCCATGACTTCTGCCCAAAGCCTCCTCTTTCTCTTCAGTTTAGCATGATGGAGATTAGATCTGCCTCTTCCCTCCTAACTTTTAGAAAGCTGGTAAAATCATGGCTTTGGGACACTGCATTTGCAGATTGATGACTGAGTCAATGACTGTTGACCTACTGGCGGATGGCGATGAATTTGTAATTTGTGATTTCACTTTGACAAACTGACTTTTTTGTAAATGGTATGAACTGTATTTTAATGTATTTTATATTGATGATGTATATTTGCTTTATCTTATTGTACTGAATCCTCTGTTGTTGGCCGGCCTGAGTTCCTCTCCGGAGGTTGAGAAGACCGAGTTATAAAAGCTCTAAATAAATAAATAAATGATTGTGGGATTAATTTTGCCCCGAAATAATACCTAAACCACATGAGGCATGCTAAAATGTGCTCCCACTTTATACACACACACCTACCCAAAGTCATAGGATCATAGAGTTGGAAGAGACAACAAGGACCAGCCAGTCCAACTACCTGCCAGAATATTTCCTAATACTTTCTACAACAATTTCAAACTGTCCAGAAAGTGGCCAGAAGAGACACAAAATCTCTTCTGAAGGCATTTTCAACAAGATACTGACAACAGGCAAGATCTGTTTAGGCTATCTAAGGCCCTTTCTACACCACCATATAATCCAGATTTTCAAAGCAGATAATTCACATTATCTGCTTAGACCTGGATTATATGAGTCTACACTGCCATATAATCCAGTTTAAAGCAGCTAGTCTGGATTTTATATAGCAGCGTAGAAGGAACCTAAGTGGAGGAGTGTAAAGAGAGCAGCTGAGCAAGCCTGGTTGATGCCTATGAGGGAGAAAGGAAACATAACTGAAGCCAATGGACACCACACTCTTTGCTGTCTCTGCTATATAGTAATGTTACAGCAGCCCTCTACTGGATACAGATGTTATCCAACTACACAATTCCAATCTCCCTATGTATAAATCCACTTATGAAGACATAAGGACCCAATAGGTTTCCAGTTAAATTTTGTATATAGACCAAAACACGTTATGCGTTGTGTAAAAGGCAAAGGGTATTTTTATGGTGCTTGATAAGTGCAAAGCACTACTTTTTTTTCAAAGTGGTTTTTAAATGTACTGACTCCCCAACAACAAGTGATCACTTTGGTTGATCAACATGTTTAATGTCATGGACTTTATTTACAAATTGCAGCTTTACTATATATTGTATTGAAATGGATGGTTCTTCATAACTAGATTCTATAGTGTGACAGCCTAACTTAATTCCAAAATGGCATCAGTGAGAAAATATGATGTGATCTACATCTAACACAATGGCCATTTCTTCATTTCCTCCCTGTTTTTCTTTGTCTGTGTACCTGTGTCTTCAAGACATCTGTTGACTTACGGTGATCCCATGAATGCTTAGGGCTTCTTAATTCAAGGAATACTCAGAAGTAGCTTTACTAGTTATTTCCTCTGAAATATAGCCTGTAAAACCTGTTATTCATTGGTGGTCTCCCATCCAAAAACTAACCAGCTTCCAAGATCAGGTAGGTTATGTAGGCAGGATTTAGGCTACCCTATGCCTCACTAGAAAACAGGCTTGAGAGGGTTCCTCCAGAACAAGATCTGAATGCTTGTAAGAGGCTGTAGGGGAAAGAATCTCATTTGCCCACCACCAGTTATATTTACGGTATAGTTCCAGCAATGAGCAAGCCTAAGGACAATGTTTCCCGTAGGAAAAAAAGATAAATAATAGCACAGATAGGAGGTTAGATATAATCAACAGGGCCTCACGCTTTTTTAATGTCATCTAAGGAAGCATGTCGAGGGAGTCCCAGAGCTTCATAATATTCCACCATGATGAGTAGATGTATTCCGCAGAACGAGTGAGGAGGACGTTGTTGACACAGTAAATGCAACCAGCACTGAGTGTTGCCTTTGGGTGGCACAAACAAGTCTTTGGGTTCTTAACTGTGGTTAGAGGTGGTCATGGCCATCAACCAGACTGGGCAACCCCATATGGAGAGCAAAAGGCAGTGATTGTGGACAGTTGATCCTACAGCATATGGAAGAAGACTTATGTTAGGTAGATATACATCAACACCTCCCAAGTTCCAAGATAAATACATGGGTAGATAAAATAGGATATTGCTTATTCCTTGTGGGAGGGGGCATTTTTCCTGACAAAAATAAAATGAAGGTATATATGTATAAGGCACAAATGGCCAGCAAACTGGAAATATGCTTTCCAGAATGTTGACTATAGCTCCTTTTTATAAGACACATCTGTTGCCCAGGTGTTGCCTAGCATTTCTCTGCTGCCCTTTCATCTGTGTAGACCAGTGGTTCCCAACCTTTTTTTGACCAAGGACCACTTAGACCAGGGACCACTCTCCAACATTAGTACCAAAAGGGTTATGAATCAGTTTTTTGTCAACTTTAGATTCAGTTTGGTTATTTGGGGTGCTGATTTAGAAAATTGCATTGGAAAGATCACATCAGCATTAGCTTCTGATACAGAACAGAAACAAGTAGTTGCCATCTGCTTGCTCACAGAATAATTTAATAAGTCTTGGCACTATAAGAGGGTTTTGTAAGACCAGTTCTCATTGCAACAGTGTAGTAATGGTGAGGGCACGGACCATATTTTAGTTCTTGCGGACCACTGGCGATCCACGGACCACAGGTTGGGAACCACTGCTCTAGATCTAATCCTAGGAGATATTGTTACTCTAGGAATGGAGTTCCAGTGGACTTCTCAAATTAGTTTGATTTCAGTTCCCATCAGTATCAGGCAGTGTAACCCTTTTGGTGCAGCCCCCGGTGGTGCAGTGGGTTAAACCGCTGAGCTGCTAAACTTGTTGACCAAAAGGTTGCAGGTTCCGCTCTCAGCCCCAGCTTCTGCCAAACTAGCAGTTTGCAAACATGCAAATGTGAGTAGATCAATAGTACCGCTTCAGCGAGAAGGTAACAGTGTTCCATGCAGTCATGCCAGCCACATGACCTTGGAGATGTCTATGGACAATGCCGGCTCTTCGGATTAGAAATGGAGATGAGCACCACCCCCCAGAGTCGGAGACGACTCGACTTAATGTCAGGAGAAACCCTTTTGGTACTAATGTTGGAGAGTGGTCCCTGGTTAAAAAAAGGTTGGGAACCACTGATCTAGAAGATATTTTGGATAGAATTCTTTGTGTGACAACCAGTTCCCCTAGTTTTATCATCGATTGCATTAGCTAGCAAATATGTGATGATTATATTGTAAGGCGTTTAACAAAGAACGGCCTCAACCACAGCCCAACCCCCTACCTATCTGTTGTATTAGAAATCCCATTATCTCCAACCATTATGGCTGGGGATGATGGGAGTTGCATCCAAGCAAATCTTCAGGATGTTGCACCTAAAAAGAAATTTAAGGTCAGTTTGGAACAAACCAGCTTGTCATTGCCTCCATCTATTTCTGCCAAAGAACAGAGCATCAAGTGCCTTGAGGATAGAAAAAGGTGTAATTATTATGCAGATGTTAAATTACATCCCCTCCTCACCAATAATAACCCAGGCCAGTTAAGGTTTTTTTCCCCTCATAAATGAACTAGATGGCTTAAAGTCTCCTAATTCGATCTCTCAAAGAGAGAAGTAGACCTACCTTACTGTTCAAGGAAAAACTGTCCTGGCTGCATGGTGGGTACAGTTCTGAGGTCTTGCAGGTGTAGGTCCACACCTGCACAGGCACAGTTGCTGCTGCCTGAAGGGAACTTAGGAAGGGAATGGAAAAGGAACTCAGCAACAACCTACCACCCAGTTCCTTTGTTGATGAGCAGCACCAACAGCCAATGGGGAGTCCAAGCTGATTATGATGTCACCTCTTGCTAGTTTTCACTGGAGAGAGGATAACCCTGTGATTGTCCAGATTGTGCCTCCTCCCCTTGCCACTGGTCAGCCTGGAGAGGAACTGGAATCCCATAACATCTGGAGAGTTATAGATTCCTCTGTGCTGTTAAAAACAAATTAGAGATCTCCGATAATTTTGGGTGGAAGAGTAGAAAGTGTTCCTCATGTTATTGTTCTCATATGTAATATACCGATATGTGTAATAATTGCTATGACTACAATGTTTACTCCAGAGAAGAGATCATGTGAAACTCCACATGTGGGCCGGTCAGCAACTTGTAGCATCTCACAATATTGACTATTCTGGTAATGGCTAATGAGCCTTTCAGTCCAACAAAATCTGAGGGCCATATGATTCTCACTCCAGGTTTAGCTGAATCAAACAAAAGCACTTCTGGGATGACCAAAAATGATGCTTTTAATTAATTTGAAAGGTGATTTTAAATTTTATTTTAAAATGTTCAATACACATAGTTATGAAATCTACAGGTGGCAAGTGTCCTATTAAGAGACATTTTGCCATCATCTCGACATGTGATTTTGCTATTAATATGTCATTTTTCACTGGGTCAGGGTTTGCAGATCTCATTAAGACACAAAGAACATTGACTGCCTCTAAAGGCTCACATATTCCTAAACTTAGTCATAGAAAACTGCCTTAAAACTAAATGAAATCAACCAAGTGTTGTTTGTAGACGTTAAGAGCACCAGTGAGTACAAGTTGTTGTCTCATATATCATAGGCAGGCGTCTCTATATATCACTTGTTGGTGGAAGAGTTATGGTAAAGGGTGCAATCATATGCATTTTGCACTTGTTGCTGTGTCCCTTCATGTTGTTCCTGGGTGATGACACCCCTAAGATGAACCTAGCATGTTTGTTTGCCCTTGCCTTCCCCTGAGCCTGAGAGGCTGGCTGAGATCACTCAATGGTTTCCATAGTCAAGTCTAGATTTGAACCTTCATCTCCAGTCATAGTCCAACACTTTCCACAAGCAAGGTGTTTAATGGGCTACTGTCTGAACAAAAAGCCGGGCCAAGCAGACTTTCCCATTTGATCCAGAACTGCTCATATCTCTTACTGTCCTCTACCGCAGTATTACCTAAATTAGAAGTAGTCATAGAGCAGTCCTCCAGATGTTTCCGGACTGCAGTTCCCATAATTCTTCAACATTGTTTTTGATAACGAGCTCTGGTGATAGGTACAGTCTACTGATATGTAGAAAACCATATGTTTTAGTTCCTCCACTAACCAACATAGTGCCATTCAGTTCTGGACTACAATTCATGATCCAGCACATTGGGAAGTTGGGAAAGACTGGTGTACATGGTCTAAGATAGTTACTGTTCTTGTTGAAAGACACTTACTTACAGGAAATTTCAGTAGAGGAGTTCAGCAACTATCTATGAAGAAGAATAGAGCAAACTGAAAAAGCAGCTCTAGCAGCAGCTGTCTTAGATTGATCTGTTTAACTATCAACAATGTCATTAAGTTTTGTTCCAGTGTGGCCTTGGTGTGGATGAAGTCATAACTTAGTTGCAACTGATAGTGGCTTTCTAGAATCCCAGGCAGGGTTTTTTCTCAGCCCATGATTATCTAAAATAGCTTACTGGAGCTCCCTCATTTTGATGGCCAGACCAGCCAAAGCTTGGAAGATGTAATTGATGTTCTTAACCATGGTCCAGGCTTAGCATTGGATTGGTCTGTACTTCACAGTCACAGCTACGCCGAGGGCAAACAGTGCCACTGCAAAAAATTCCAGGGTACTACTGATGATGAAATCAGGATCACAGTGAAGATCTGGGAGGGGATGCCCTTGGGGACTGGCGGGACTGGTTAAGAGAGCAAAGCTCTGCCAAATCCTCTTTCGATGGCATGGACAGGGATAGTTATCCCAGCACACAGAGGCCTCCTGTGGTATTGGAAGATATAAATTACATGCAGTGCAGCCAGAAACAAAGAACCATTCCTGGGGCAGGACTACATGATCCCAGATCTAGGGGATTTGTACGATAGTGGTGCAATTGAGAGAGGTATCTTGGGTCAGATTTTTTATTTCCTTGGGCAAGATGTCACTGGCACAGGCAGGAGCAGGGAAGCTGCTTGCTACCCCCAGATCTCTGTCATGATGCTCCTCCAGTTAGAGGTCTCCAGGTCTGTTGTCCTCTTGATTGAGGAAGAGCTGGTTGATGGTCCCACCAATCACACAAGTGATCTACAGCATATGGGAGAAGTCACTCCAGAGATTACTCATATGGGGTGACAGAAATGTCAGCTGCTTCCCAAGTTACAGGGGAACTTATTTCTTCTGTTGGCAGCAGCTACTGTTGGGTTGCTAGTGTGAGATATTTGAGGGCTTGTAATTCTCTACTGGTTTGTTTTGGTTCACTCAGGATTCCAACAAAGAGGCTTTTATGGAATTCATCATATACGTCAGCAGCTATCATTCCACAGTACAACTATCAGTAATTGTGGATGACTTCCAGAAAATACAGTCCATCATCGCACATTCATTCTCTCCTATTTTGTCATGTGTACACAAGTTTTGTTTTCAATTTTTTTTTAAAAACCCAGCAATATTTCTGGTATTTAATGTTTTGAAACTGCAACAGCCCCATATTTCTATAAAGCATGTACAGTTGACCATTCACAGATGGCCCTGTGAGTTTTGACTTTTGCAGGTTTGATTATTTGTGGATTTTATTAAAATGGGCTCTCTAGGAATCTGTAAATCCTACAGTGTGATCGTATGATCAACTTCTATTTTAAGTTGACCATAGAGCTGTGCTTGAGGACCTAGAGAATCCTAGAGAGATGTTCACATAGATAAAAATAATAACAAGTTTTCAAATTTGGTTTCCCCACCCTCCACCAAATTTACAGAGATGCTGGGTCCCTAAAAAGAGTTAATTTGGAGGGCTGATTGTTGAGGAAACAGTCAACCTCAGTGTTTTGGCTAACAACTCCCAACCAGCAGCGCCTCCAGTGAAAGAATATGGGAGATGCAATCCCCCCAAAATGGAGAGGACTATAGCTGTAAATTATAGATCTAGAATGCATCAAATTTACTTAATTTATACACGTTTTCAAACTACAAATTCTGTACATTGTAGTCCAAATATTGCAGATAACGATCTTTACTTCTTTAAATACTTGTGCCAAGCTTCTGGACATTGCCAGCTTACCTTTAGCATTTTGTATTGATAGAGATAACAATGTGCAAAATGAATTTTACAAGAAAGTTTTAAGAATGGGTTTAAGAGAGGGGAGAAAGGAGTAAAGAGGAGCAAAGAGTGGAGGAATTTGGGGTTGCCAAGCACCAAGGGGAAGAGATGTGAGTGAAAGGTGAAGAAGAGATCAAAATTGTTGGAGCATGTAAGGAATCAGTGAGTGAGTGTGTGTCAACTGTAAAATAAGGTGCATGAAGCTGATTGGCCAAGCTATGCCTGGGGAGCAGGCTGAGCCTGAGACTTTTGGATACTGTTACATTTTTGTTCAGGCTTCAGATAGCAGGTGCAGCAGAGAGAGACGCAGGCAGAGAGAGAGAGTTTGGGGTGTGATCTCATTTCATAAGCTGCTGAAGGAGTTTATCTGCATAGACAGAGAAAGAACATTTTAAATTTCTCATAAAAGTACATTATGTAAGTTGATACAACTGTTCACATATGTTGTTCTGAACTACGAAGAGTAAACTACTTATTCTTTATTGATCATCTGTGTGGCATATTTTTGTTCTCTGGCACGACAATGTGTGGACTGATAAAACATGAACTACGCATGATTTACATTTTGCCAACAAAATTGACTTGATAGAGATGGGAGAAGGAAAAATTGCGCAGAAGATGGGTTTCATAAAAAAAATTGTTTAGGAACAGAGATGCATAGACACATTGAATTGAAGTATAGAGTTGAGAGGAGAAAAGTGCAGACAGAAAAGGAAAGGAAACGAAAGAGAAAAGGAGATTTGATTGTATGTGTGAGTGCTTGTGTCAGTCTCATACTATAAAATCCATTATGCAGGAACAGTCAAGTGTGGTACTCTGCTTTTGCAGTTTGTAACTGTCCTTTAGTATTTTCTGCAAATTAAACTACTGTATTTTTTAAACTTTTCATTTCTAGTTTTCACTTGGGATCCTAATTTTTCAAGAAAATACAAGGGGACACAGACTGGAAAATTTTCAGATCTGCCTTTTATTATGCTTCTTTCTGGCAATCCATGATTTATAAGGTTCTCCTTGGTCTAGAGTCATAGGAGCAGCTGGAATGGGAAGGCAAAGGAGAGAAATTGCCCCTGCCTGGAACCCTATTCACTTTGCCTAGTAGCTGGCCAGAAATCTCTGGAAGATGTGTTGTTACTCCCCCTCGTGTCCCGCTGACTCCTTTTGGCTGATGCAGATGGATTGTCCTGCATGTGCACAAATTCTTTTCGTTGTTGGGCCAACTGGACTTTTCTACAACTGCAGGTCTCCCATGCAGCTGTATTATTTCCCTCTGAGGTGGGTTGATCACACTTGGGAGCTGGTTCCACTTGCTTTCTTCTGGGATCTCTTTGGGAAGTTGACTCCCTCTACACAAAAGTTTCTTTGTTCCATCCAGGAATTTCTTCATGCCACCTAGAAGACCTTCAGAGCCATCGAGGCACTGCTTCCTTATTCCATTTGGTAGTTGATCCTGCTGGCTATTGCCTGGCTCATCAGGAGGTAAAGTGATCCTAACACAACTTGGTCCTCCTTCACTGTTACCCAAGGATGCTTTCCCTCCAACAAATGGCTTACATGCAGCAGGCAAATCCTTCAATCCTTGAAGGTTATTAGTGTCTTCAAAAGGTGGTTCTACTTGGTCATGTGGATTGTTGCTTCCAG